TAGATTGCCCAAACTTCCTTCACAGGAGTGGCTGGTGGGTTTATATAAAACCACCCCTCCTTGCGTTTCTGAGGTGGTATCACTGTGGAAGTATAATTTTTTAAATAACTATAAGATATCCAGGTTCATTAACAAGTTTATCAATTTTACCAACCTTTCAAGTTTGTCAGTTTGGGCTTTGTTGATTTTCTGTGTTGTATACCAACTTTCCATTTTATTCATTTCTGCTTTTATCTTTGTTATTTACTTCTTTGTACTTTCTTTTTGTTTCATTTGTTGTTTTATCTATATCTGGAGTTGGAAGTTCACTTTAATAATTTCAATTTTTTTTTCATTTTGTAACGTATGCATGTAAAACTATACATTTATCTCTAAGCACTGCCTTAGCTATATCTTGCAAAATTTGATCAAATTTTCATTTCCATGAATATAAAAATATATCCTATTGTCCATTGTGATTTCTAAGAATCACTGGTAGCTGGACAATTTGGCCTTAGTGACAGAAATATTGCTGGAAATCACATGATATAATTTTGCAGGACCAATGACTTATTCATTGCACATATCTTTTTTCAACAACACAAATGACACCTCTACACATGGACTTTGCCAAATGGAACACACAGGACAGATTGACTACATCTGTGGCAAGAGGCGATGGAGAAGCTCAATATCTTCAGCCAAAACCAGGTCTGTTGTGGAACAGACCATCAATTGCTTGTATGCAAGTTCAACTTGAAGTTAAAGACAATTAAAACAAGTCTACAAGAACCAAAATATGATCTTGAATAAATCCCTCCTGAATTTAGAGATCATTTAAAGAATAGATTTGATGCATTGAACACCATTGACCGAAAACCAGAAGAATTGTGGGATGACATCAAAAGCATCAGCCATGAAGAAAGCAAGAGGTCACTAAAAAGACGAAAAAAGAGAGAAGACCAAAATGGGTGACAGAAGAGACTCTGAAACTTGCCCTTGAGTGCAGAGTAGCTAAAGCAAATGGAAGAAATGACAAGATAAAAGAGCTGAACAGAAGATTTCAAAGAGCAGCTTGAGCAGACAAAGCCAATCACTAT